TTTAGGCTAAAGCCCATCTCAACATTCACCTTTGAATCTAATTTAGCAATCTAATTTGCTTTACTATGGAAATCTTTCCTACTTATGTAAATTCTACTCCTCTAATGCAGATATTAAAATCTTCCTTGAAAAAAAATGATTGAAAAAAATGATTAGGAGAAGATAAACTTGTAAAGAAAGACTCTATTTGCAAATTGCAAAGATAAAAAAAGGAAAGTAGCATGCATATTGCCAACAATGCAATGAATAGAAGTCAGCAAATGATTACAATGGTCAAAGATTTATGAGAAATGAGCAACCGCATCAAACGCAAAGCTTCCCTACAAATAAAAATTCCTCCTTTTTTTGGCAGACTATCAAGTGGATTTTTTCAAGTGGGGACTGCATTTTCTATTTTTGCAGACAAACTAGCTTCATCTATTTTTCTTTTTTAACTTCTTGCTTATATCCCCCTCCCCCCCCCTTTTATTTATTTATTTATTATTATTATTATTATTATTTTGTTTTGTTTGGTATACTTGTAACTTTTTGTCATTTTATTTATTTCCATTTGCAAATTAGATATAAATAAATTAGTAGCTTATCATCACTCTTAATGATGTGATCTACTTAATTAAATATTGTATGTGATGATTTGTTTTGACTAAAACTTCTCCATGGATGGATTTTAAATAAGTAGATCGAAAATACATATGTATTCAAGAATCCTTGTAGTGTTTTGATATGAGAATGTCTTTTTATAACACCAACACAAATAGTGTGTGACTCGGGTAATGCCCGCGTTGCTAGTTTGTACTTCTTTAATTTAATAATTGTGTTCGACTGTTTTCATAGCTTGTGTGTGATCTGAATGTTGTCTCGGATGTTACTGTTTTTTTTACCTCATATATATTTATTTTCTAATCTTGTAAAAAATAAATAAATTATATAACCTCTAATTATAAATGAAAGGAATATATAATGTTAATTATGTGAAATTTAAAACATTAACAAAAGTTGGTTGAGATGATAAATGTATAACCTTTATTTGTTGGATGTTACGGGTTCGAATCTAGCTCGAAACATGATTTATTTTGTTAAATAAAGTAGCGAGCTTACGTGGTATATATACTTTAAATAGTGACGTGGCGTTGTGACATGGTGTATATACTATGAAGAGTGCCGTGTGACATCCTTCCTCGAACTTTATATTATGTAAGTAGCTAAAACTTCTAAATTCTTACGGGAATTCCCCGCTTAACTATTAGCCTTTGCCTTACGCATATCCTCTAATTCAAAATATATACTTCCTCTGTTTCTTAATACTTGAAACACTTTTCTTTTCACACTTGCCAATGTACTATTTCAATCTTTAATATCTTTAATTACCAATGTGTAAAAATTATAAAATAAATTGATATTGTGAAAGTATAAATCGAAACGAGTAAAACAAAATCACACGTGACTATATTTTTCCTAACCTATAAATCACCAAAACTTGTGAAAGTGAGATATCTAAATAATGTAAAAGTTAAATTGTTACAAGAAAAAAAAAATAAAAAAATTGAGGAAGTATGAGTTTTGGTGCGAAAACATAATATTATGGCCTTTGTCAATTGGCTTTCTAAATGACACATTTCCTTCATCAGTTTTTTACTTGACTATTTCATATGATCAATAACCCAAAACAAATTGTAAAGTAAATACTCAGCATTTTAGCCAGAATCTTGTCCAAAGGTTGGTTATTACCACATTAACAACCGATAGCCAATAATCCAATATCTTTACAAGTTACCATGAGTCCATGACGTACTCAAAGAGCTAATACAATACGAACTGCAGCTGCTCGAAAGTCTCTAACAAGTGGATCAAAGCGAATCAAAGAACAAACTAATTCAATATCCAGCTTATGTTTGCCAAACAACACCTATAGTGCAGTCTATATATACATCTAATTTAGTCGTGATATAGCAGCACCCCTTAATCCCATTTTGGCTCTATGATCTATCCTCACTCTATATACATCTAATTTCGTCATGATATAGCAGCACCCCTTATTCCCATTTTGGCTCTATGATCTATCCTCACTCTTGCAAACAAACTACTACTTGAACAATGCCTTGTACTATTATACACAAAAAATGAATAATTTGAATAGAAGGTATATAGTGATGACAAATAACTCTTGGCGCATAGCACCTATTTGTTTTGAAACAAATAAGATGGCTAAGTTGTAAATATTAACACGAGTATAAAGTATCATCAAATAGGTAAATAGTACCATTAAATGTTATAGTAGTGTAAATATTTTTCTAATGGTACATATAAGTATGTAAATTGTTCATCAAATATTATACTACTATGAGATATAATAGTAATATTAAGACAATATATAATCTAATGGTATAATATACATGCATAATAGTACACAAAAAGTACCACTATAACTATAAAAAGTACCATTATGAATGTTAAAATGACTATTTTAATTGCCCTTCTATTTGCACAGAAAAAATATAGGCGCTACGTGCATAGATAGACTCGGTGATGACCTACAATTGTACAAACAAGGTTAACTGGAATAGAAGATAGTGATGCAAACCAATCTTGCCCTGTATGTCACTATGCAAAAGGACCTACATGTCTAGGTAATATGATAACAATCAAACAAGGTATATATGATTCCCCTTTAGTAGAATAGTAGTACATACTATACTAGTGTTAGTATTACCTTTTAGATTTCATCAATTTGTTCTCTTAATTGCAACAAAAAACACACAGCCAATTACCATCATAATACATGAATTCCACTTTTTAGGTTGTAAAAATGAACAAGAATTGAAAGATTGACATTTAGCTAGTTTTTTCTTTTATCTTGGTCGCTAATTTAGAGACAACACATGACTTAGCTTATTCATCTTCTTTACTTTGTCATGGTTCATTGTTTGTTTAATACTACTATACAAGTATTAGAGTTATAGAGTTATTCATTCATTCTTATTATGTTGCCTTCTTCTTTGTCTTTTCTTCTTAGTTTTATACTTTGTTTACTTTACTTCTTACAAGCATTATCAAATTATACAATGTCAAGAATCTTCATAATTTTGCTCCTATAAAACTGTTAATTGTGCATGTCTAGACGTCTAGTGGCAAAGGAAAACCCAAGTTCTAAAACACAAGGATGAAGAATAATAATGGGGTAAAATAATGTTGATTATATTACTAAGTTGCACTATATGACCAATCACTATTTACACCATGTGTTGGTGCGCGGTACTAAGGTCATTGATACATTACACATTGAAGTATGATGGTAAACCTAAGTTCAATTCAGTGTGGAGATAAATTAATAAAGTCACCGTAAAATCGATCTACAATAATTTTACAAGACGAAGACAAATACAAACTAATTAATAAGAACATCTATACTCATTAGATAGAAATATAGAATTTAAAGTTGATAACGTTATGCGTTGGAAAGGCATTATCAATCCTATACACCCACATAATAATTAAAATCATAAAATATTAGTCACAAGTAGTATATAAATACTAATCATCCATTTATTTAAAGAGGGTGGACATGATAAATATAACACATATATTTTTTTTTTACTATTGCCATCCTAATGTAGAAATGATAAAGAATTTTTAATTTCAAGATTACAAATGAGGTGTGCGATACCTTTATTTTTGAATAAGCCACAACATATAGCTAATAAGCTAACATTGAAATGTCTATCTACATATTTAAAACCTAACCCACCCTAATCCAACCTAGTCACAGAATTATTTTATTCAACATGTACTTTAGTCTTAAGTTCGATCTTAAAATTAATCATCAAATAATATCTCGTTGGCAATATGTTTGTAGATTTGTGAACATTTTTAAAGGAACTTTGTCCTACATCATTGACAATTTAGCATAGGAGATAAGATGAAGTGTTTACTCAAGATACTCTCTTATTTGGGTCAAATATGGGTCAGATTAGGGTCAAATATGGGTCAGAATAGGCCTCAAATTAGTCAGTTACCATTATCATTGTGTCATTTTACATAACTCTAACCTCTAATTATTTTTTTTACTTAAAGCATACTATTATTCTAGCATTAAAAAGTCATAAACATCCTGATTAAAGTGCATTTACAAAAAATTAAGGAAAAAACAAAATTCCAAATTATTTTAGAAAAAAGCACCTAACTTACATGTGAATTGTAAGAAAAATAAAATGAAAAGAATTTAGAAGTAAGAGTAGTAAAATATGGATAAAGCTCTTGTGATTAAGGACATGATTGCAACATGCTCTCCACTCTCAGCTCTTGTCTCTAGGTGATTTTTTCCGATTATCTATGCCCAATTAATTATTTTTACTTGTATTATACGAGTTTATTTTTGTTTAAATACAATGTCGTCCAATTTTTTTCATTTAGTGTAAGATCTCCATGAAAACACAAAAATATCAATATTTCTTTGTCCCCACTTTTAAGGTGTAAACATCTCACCCCAACAAAATCAACCCCAAAAATTTAGAAAATGAAAAATACTTCTTATATTTATATAAGATAAGAAGAGGGAATGTTATCTAATAAAATATTTTTGTCATATTATCTAATTACTAATTACTAATCACAGAATACAATTTAAAATATTTATCACTCCGTGAAATTCTAATATATTTGACCTTGTCCCTTAACTTGTAAGGTTTTTTTTTTCTTAACTGTTACAAGTATTTTATCTTCATTTAGCTAATACGAAATAAACTCATTGATCAACTAAGGGCCTTTTCTTTATGTTAGTCTGCTACGTTACTAAGCACACTACGGAGTACAAAATACAAATACTACATGAGCTGTTACAGCTTACAGTTCAAGTGTTCAACTCCTATGGCTGACTTTTATTTTCTACAGAGTAGTTCTTTCTCATTTCACATTAGAATTTCTTTATTTTTTAACGTGAGTTTCCTAATGTGTTTTTTTTTTTTTTTTTTCTTCTTACAATAGTAATCTGTAATCCATACTTTTTACGGATTATTACATTATGGAATACTGTAATAGAAAAAAGGTAAAAAAATTAATAAATTGCACAGAGAAAACAGGTAAAGAAAGAAAGATAAAAATTCAAAAAGAGGAAAGCAAAAGCATCTGAAAACTCTGAACCGTTACCACCTCACTCACTTTCTCACTATCACTTCACTCCACTTTCTCTCTCCTCCATTTTCACTCCTCCCTTCTCACAGACTACTACTCTACACTACTATCTTCCTCCTTTCTCCCTCCTCTGCAACAATCTAGGGTTTATGGATTCCCCCAATTTCCCGATAATGTGAATTAGGGTTAGGGTTTACCTCCCTTCCATTTTCGAAATTCCTTCAAATCTGGCCCCAAATCCATGGGAAATTGCTGCAGATCTCCGGCTGCTGTTGCAAGGGAGGATGTAAAATCCAAGCAATCCGACAACAAGAGGAGAGAGAAAAACAACCTACATTCTTCCGCCAAGAAGTCGTCTTCTTCGTCTTCGATCACTGTTTTGCCCGACGTTCCTAAAGAATCGATCGACGAGAGGTATTTAGTTGATAGAGAGTTAGGGCGAGGTGAATTCGGCGTTACTTACTTGTGTATCGATCGAGGTTCGCGTGAATTGCTTGCTTGTAAGTCGATTTCCAAGCGGAAGCTGCGAACTGCAGTGGACATTGATGATGTTAGGAGAGAAGTTGCGATTATGAAGCATTTGCCCAAGAGTTCGAGTATTGTGACGTTGAAGGAGGCTTGTGAGGATGATAATGCGGTGCATTTGGTGATGGAGCTTTGCGAAGGCGGCGAGCTTTTCGATCGGATCGTTGCTCGGGGGCATTATACGGAACGAGCCGCGGCTGCCGTGACTAGAACGATTGTGGAGGTGGTGCAGCTTTGTCATAAGCATGGTGTTATTCATAGAGACTTGAAGCCGGAGAACTTTTTGTTTGCTAACAAGAAAGAGAATTCCCCGTTGAAGGCTATTGATTTTGGCCTCTCAATATTCTTTCAGCCAGGTATATTGATTTTCTTTAATTGGTTGGAAAAATTGATGGAAATGTAGTTTTCTATTTTTGTGTTTTGCTATAATTAACTGCTTTGGAGTGGAATGTTCTGTTTTGTTAGTGTTAATACGGAGTTTTCGATTGCACGTCAAGAATTGTGTAATATGACATCTGAATTCAAGGGACTTTGGCACATTTTTTTGGTGAAATTTGGGGTTTTTATAGTGTATTTAAGGGTTTAAGGAAGGTACATTTGGTGTGAAGCATAATATGTGGATTATGGAGGGAAAGAGGTTGGGGATTAAGACTATATCAGGTTAGCTATGTATGTCACTCAGTTTTCATCTTTCCTAGTGGGTGGCTGATGTTTGATTTCATAAGCTAATGAACCTGTGTTTTATGTATTGATCTTTGTAATCTTTCCATTGATGTTGTTAAGAGACCGAGTTGTTGTGCTGTGTACTTGAAGACTGACTGATTCTATTGAAAAATGAAATTATAGAGGATGATGGTTGAAAGAGTGCTAAACTTCAACTGAAAGAGTGCTAAACTTCAATGGGTATTTTGTTACTACATCAATAGCCTATGACAAATATCTTTCTTTGAAGGGGAGGTGAAAATTGAACACCGAGGTCAAATAAAGCATTAGACGTTGTATTATGGTTTGATTACCTCTGGCCTCTGAGAAACATCTTGTTGTGTCTCTTTAAGTTCATTTTCGCTACATGGATGGATTATGCGGAATTAATTTTGTGTTATATTATTGATCCTGCATAGTCCCATATCCAAACCATGTTCTAATTGGATCTTGTTACACCTGGAAAATATGCTGTGGCTTTTTTTTCACCTAACATTGAATGGGTGTTATCAGAAAACAGTTTGTTCTGGTACACAAGATAGGTATGAGAATGTAATTCACAACAGAATTCTGTTGAACTGATTTCCATCCTTGAGTTTAAATGTAGTCCACACAATAATTTCAATTTTCCTTGATCGTGTTTGCATCTTTTGACTGGGGATGGCAAATTAGGCATCACTGATCTTTTTGATCATATCTTATCTCCGTTCATATTATTGAGATGAGGAAGTTGGAAGCTATCATATATTATTTTCAGCCTTTAAACAAGGTTTTGTAGAGAAATTTGTTTATTGTAATCCAACAAAACATATCAAAGATTCAAAAACTATGCATGAACTACTGATAAAGTTTATAAGGTCTTGCTACCATTTTTCGTGAGTCTGAGAATAACATGAATTGGATTTTTCTTGCACAAGCTCAATGAATTTTTTTTGAGTAGGACAGCTACTCGATATTTTCTTTGTATACTGTAAGACCTTATAATATACCTCTGATATTTTTTATGCCAAAAATGAAATATTTGTGCAAAGTGAAAAGGGACAAACAGAAATGTTGCCTTCTTACATGGTTGAGTTGAATGGTTAGTGGCTTTTGTTCAAGTTTGGAACAGTATATGTTGCTTATGATGTTATATACCATGCTACCATACCATTCTGATTGAAGCTCACGCTGCACTAGTACAGAACATTAATGTTACACAAGCATTAAGATGCAGGCATATATTGAACATATGTCTAAAATTTTTGTTCATTACACATTTGTAGCGTTTTGTATCTGTTTTGGTTATTAATTCTTTGTTATTACAAATCATCGTTCATGTAATGCCTGTTTAATGTTGTTTAGTTGTGAGTCCTAGATTTTGATTCTATAATCATAATAATCACGTTGCCCATTTTTCCATATGATCTTATGCTTTTTAGGTGAACGGTTCTCTGAAATTGTTGGAAGTCCCTATTACATGGCTCCTGAGGTGCTCAAGCGAAATTATGGTCCTGAAATTGATATATGGAGTGCAGGGGTTATTCTGTATATATTATTGTGTGGAGTTCCTCCATTTTGGGCAGGTAGTTATCTTTTGTTATTGTCTCCCTACATCGCTGTCTTTTCTTTGTTTTGAATAAAAGTTGTAGCTTTTATATTAATCCCGCGGGTTATTTTGTTGTATCAATGTACCCTGTATATCTTTCATGTTGGAAGCTGCAAATTTCTGTATGACCTCGATCTTTCCATTGTGTTGTTACCTTGTATTTACTGTTGTGAACATTTTGCAGAGTCTGAGCAAGGTGTGGCACAGGCCATTCTACGTGGTGCTATAGATTTCAAACGAGATCCATGGCCTAACATTTCAGAGTGTGCAAAGAGTTTGGTTAGACAAATGTTGGAACCTGACCCAAAGAAAAGACTAACAGCAAAACAAGTACTTGGTAATTGCATACCTGGAATTTCTCTCATGAATTTTCATTCTTGATTATCATTTAGTTCTTGTACAATAATATTGTTTTCTGCTTTAAGTCTTACTTGGAAATTGGAAAACATTGCATGCATGTGAAACTAGACTGTTAAGTTCTCTTCAAATTCTAAGAACTCACCTTCATTCACTATGGAAAGCATTAGAAACTGAGCTTCAATTATATGTTGAAGACATTATTACCTTTCTAAAGAAATAAAAATGCTATTGAGAGTTCTGATTGATACTTTCAGCTTGTTTGTATAACACTTCAGGAAGGGATGGGATGGTAGGAAAGAAGGAAGTTTTGTTCATAAAAGATTGAAGGCAAACAATCCTCTCTACAATGATTTGTTATCCAAGCAATGGAAAATAAATCCCTCTCCTTTTATTTTTTTCCCTTCCTACCAAACCCTTCCATCCATAATAGCCTTGGTTGATATTGGCCATAATTTAGGGTATTTCTATCCTTTTGTGCTTATAATGATCCTACTTTTGTCAGGGATTTACTTTGGAAAACTTAAAGGTTATAAACAGCTCTGGAAGTAGAAATTTTATTATTTTAAAATTCTTTTTAAGTTTCTTATACACACATGCACTAAGAAGCTCTTTTCTTTTTTCTTTTTTCTTTTCTTTTTCTTTTTCTTTTTTTTTTTTTAAAAAAAAACTGGAAGATGTGTCAAAGTCTCACTAAGTATTTTTCCTTTGGGCCTTTATCCCTTGTAATTATCTAATTTATACAGAACGAAGCTTACCTATAAAAGTAGTTATTGACAACTTGTGCACATAAATATGAATAGATTGTTTGAAGATAGGACCTTAGGAGTTAGGACTATGAAAAGTTCTATACAATGAAAGGATCAATAAGTTTTGTACTATCCATATGGTGTATGTTAATAAAGTCAGGTGATTGTTTTGATTTTATTTCTTTAGGATTGCTTGCAGCGCTCCAGCTGCTAGCATAAGCTACATTGTTAGTTAAAAGCAGATTACAGTTGTGTTATGATAATGGAGGGTGATCAAGCCTTTTGACTTTTATTATTTTAGGACAACCCATTAGGCTATTTGGTGACTTTGTTTGAACTAGTAATCTGAGGCCTTTTATCTCTTCAATTTTGTGGTTGGGTAATAGCAAATAGTATAATCCTGGGAATGGGCTTGGCCATCCTCAATTAGCCTTCTATTTGGTGTGTTGTTTAATTAAAAGGAAGATTGACGTGATAAAAGGGATTAAGGAGCTGTCCTCCCACCCCAATTCACCAATCTTCCACATATCTTGCTCATTCGACATGGAAAGAAACAGGCAGATGGCTTTGCTATTATCTTATCAGGGAAAACCGTTCTGAAAACCCCTCTGAATAAATTCAAAATTTAGAAAAAGCATGGATTTGGAAGAGGAAGAGAAGAACTAAAATAAACATGCACTAGCCGAAAGGAGAAAGCCATGTGCAAACGTCTTAGTCTCAGACATAAGCTATTGAGTCGGCTCCAATAACCGTTTGTATTCGTCTTCTTTTTATCCTCATAGAAAGCCAGTCATTTACTTCTTATAGAATTTGTAATACACTGCCCCATGAAATATCAGTATTTTCTTAATCACTCCTAGTACTCAACGTACTAGATGGGGTATTAAAAGCTTGGCACATTTTGTATGCAAAAAAATAATTGTTTGACAGGTATAAGGGACTGAAGGTAATGAACATCTGATGCAGATTGGATATTGTTGTTCCTGCCCCTTTCAAAGTACTGTTTAGTGTGCAGGCTATTCCATTGACATCTCATTAAGGAATTATGTTCCTGGTGCAGGATATAATCTTTTTCAAAAAGTATTTTGAAAAGCTTCAAACTAGTACTAACCTTGAACCTTCTTCAGCAGGTGGAAGAGAGACATCTGCTGATGCTTTCTGATTCTTTTCTTCTCCCCTACCTCATTAATTTTGGGTGTATTCACCACATAACTTCATCTGTGCTCTCTTATCTTCTGTAAACCTTTCAGTCCTAGTTACAGAATTTCTCAAGCCTTAAATACTAGATTTACCTTTCTTATAACTCTGTTGAAAAGAAGCATAATTTAGTTCTTGAAGCATTCTCTGTGGATCCTATCCTCTTTCCTTTAGTCGAGAATAGGTTTTATGGTGGTACGGACTCAACCTGCTACTACCCACCTTGGGGCACCATAACATGGCAATTTAGAATGCGATTTTTGCTATTATTATGAGTGGTTGCAGTTTCGACAGACATGGAAAAATATAATCCTGGTTTATTCCAAAGTAATTGAATTTTGAGTGCTGTATTTACTTAACAATAATGAAGTACTCCAATAAATCCATTACCCTTGTAGCGCATCTGCCAGACTGCCATGCATTATGTAATAATTAGTATAGGTTTTTTCTGTTTCTCTTATCCTCTCTTCTAATCTCGTAGTGAATTAGTTAACTTATTATAGTCCTCACTGTAATTTGGCTTCTAATACATTGTGGGAGCAAGTTCTGGAAATATGCCCATTAAAATGTCTATTCTGCTGATTTATTCTGCTTGGTAGCCTGATGTTTTAGAAACTTCTAGTTGATCTACGAGAACCTGGAAACTGCCTTAGGCAAGACTAAACTCATACTATGCATTGCCAGTATAAAAAAAAGTACAAGGAAGATATGCAATTGCAAATATCAATGGGTAATTCCAAGTTTCTCTTCTTGATAAACATGGAATGTATCTCAAGGGGCTAAATTTGTATTTTTACGCTGGAAATTGGGGGTACGTTGGTCATTCTGTATATCTGTCAATTATCACATGGTCAAGTTGGGTAACGGGGTTAACAAACGGTGAATTGGGGTAAGGTATTCACTTCACGGAATTACTCCAAACATCCTCACTTTCTCTCTCCTCAAATTTCCTCTCTCCTCATCCTAACCCAGCACCCCTTTCCTCCATGGAAATACCACCACCACCAAATTCTCTCTCCTTCCTTGATTCTTCGCCCTTTTCTCTATCCACCTCACTATCAATGCAAGGCAAAGTCGTTTGCGCCACCAACATCCATGGGTTCTTCTTCTTCCTCCATTCTCTCACCTCCATTAAAGGAAATCAAAACCTTTAATACAGAAATTGGAATGCATGAACAACCTCAATGGAAGAGGAAGACAAACCTTGCCCTTAAGGGTTAACCATGCCATAATTTCTCCAATTTTTTTAGGGTTTTTCGTTTGGATTTGGCGGCGAGCCGCCGGAAAGGCAAAGAAGAGTGAAGAAGATAGGGGCAACGAAGGTGATGGTGGTTTGCGAGCAAAATGATGACGGAAAAAATGGCAATTCGCACCTGTTTGTTGGAGTAACATTGGTTGTAACGATAAATTGGATGGATGTTGAAGAACGACGTTAACAGCAGTAAATTCACCATTTCACACCGTCTAAACCGGTCCACATCAGCAGTTTGAGTGAATGTTACAGTCAGCACTTTCTTTCATTATAATATTATTACTTTACAATCCCAATGCTTTATAATTTCATAAATGCCATTAGAGAAACGCTCCCTGTTTCCCAAGAAGAGGAACTGGGGCACGCCCAATATCAATTCATATTTATTTTTAAATGAACTGTCTTGTCACAACTAATCTATTTGTTGACCTTATTCAATCTTAAAAGACCAATTACTTGAAGAGGACTGTATTAGAACCCGGGAGTAGCTAACACTTCAACTGGCAACGAAAGTTAAATGTAGAAAAGTCTTCTTGTTTACTGAAGTGGGCTAGCTTTGCTGATAAGAAGGATTGGAATTACATAATTGCAACCACCCCCCCCCCTCCCCCTTTCCCCCCTCACTTAGAAGCTGATTATGTGATTAGTGCTGTCCATCTGTGATTAACCTATACTGAGTGTTTGGGTAGTCAATCTATGTTGCTAACTTGCTATATTTGTAGTCTTTGCTTGCAAGCTCTTTCCAACTCACTTTGATTCTTGTGCTCCACTACCATCAAATAAGTTGATTCAATGTCTTAATATAGTTAATTTGTTCCATTTTGACTTTGGCTCGTCCTTGAGTGGTTCGAAATAACAATTTTGGGCACCATTGGTAGATTGAACAAGAACCAGCTACCTTGCACCAGCTAACGTCAAAAACTGATGCTTTACTTATGACACTTGAAGCTGAAATCCTGATTGCTAAGATGAAATTACCAAATTATAGAACTGTTTTACATGGTGCACATATATAACATAATGAATCTCTAAGGTTGCTTATGATTTTTCTCTCAAGTTTCTCGTGGAGTGGGCTTGTTTAATTGTATTTGAGAGTTTTAATTTTGCTTAATGTTCTAAATGATGAGGCAGTTTGTTGACTAATTTGTTGGCTCACAGCCTATATATTATTCCCTTTGTCTGTGTACAACTTTATATATGCTATGCTATTATAATGAGAAAAAAAGTGCTACTCTTTCAAGTTGGAACTAATTCAGAGAATAACTAGTACTCCTCCGTCCCAATATATAGTTCCTGTTTGTGTTTTTTCACGGTATTTTAGAAATGGGAGGCAAAAGTGGATGAAGTACATAAAAAAAAGGTGAAAAGTACAATTATAGACAAAAATTAGAGAGGAGAAAGTGAATGAAATACATAAAAAAGGTGAAAATTACAATTATAGACAGAAGTTAAAGAGAGAAAGTGGAAAAAAGTACAAGGCAAGTGGAAAATGCAAGGGTAATTTAGGAAGTACAATGAATGAAGTTAAAAAAAAATGAGGGTATAATGGTCTTTACATACTATCCAAAAATAGAAAGAGGAACAACATTTTGGGTATCCAAAATAGAAAAACAGGAACTATATTATGGGACGGAGGGAGTACATTATAAAGACTTTCTCGGGGTGAGAGTTATATGTGTTGCAAGGCAATGCATGTATATTGTGTTGGCTTCTTTGGATGAGTTCCTTGCATATCTTTGTTGGATGCATGTCATCCTCATTTTGTTTATATTATTTCCTTGCTTTGCAGAGCATTCATGGCTACAAAATGCCAAAAAGGCTCCGAATGTACCCCTTGGAGATGTTGTAAAATCAAGGCTAGAGCAGTTTGCCATGATGAACAGATTCAAGAGGAAGGCTTTGAGGGTTGGTTTCCTGCTTCTGTGACTGATTGGATTCTTTATTTCTAGAATTTAGTTGTGATATTGACATTTTGAATGACACTATTTTAGGCCATTGCCGAGTTCTTGTCTGCTGAAGAAGTTGAAGATATAAAGGAAATGTTTAAAAAGATAGACACAGATGAGGATGGAATCGTTTCTGTTGAGGAACTGAAAGTTGGGCTTCTTAAACATGGCTCCCAGCTTGGAGAGTCTGAAGCACAGCTGCTTATCGAAGCCGTAAGCACTCATCTCAAACTCTTCCCCTAACAACAACCCCCCTCCCTCTTCCCCCCAATTCCCTAAATAGGTGAATCCATGTTTCATCATTGATCCTCCCTTTTGCTTTTATGATCATGTGTCCTTTATACTTTATAATTCTCAGTGGAGGCAAGATGATTTGGACAAGCTGGTTTGTGTTGACATGGGCTCTGTAGCCATGTAAATAGTGTAAACAACTATAGTATTTTATGATCACTATCTTTGCCTTCAGATAGTAGATAGTTGTGGAAATGCAATGCACAGTTTAGAAAAAATTTAGAATGGAGCTGGGTAACATTTATGAACCTGTTTCCTGCATAGTGCATACATGTCTACTATAATAAAACTACAAGGTTTGGATGTTTGATTGATCTTTTGCTACATGTATAGCTATTAAATCTTTTGGAAGGGGTTTTATGGGGTGATTAGAATCTAACTTTGTAATGTTTTTGGCTTTTGCTTAGGCTGTATCTATATGCTCGCAAGGTTTAAATATTTAGTGTTAATATTTACTGGAATTTTCTCTCTTTTTCTTCATTCCCTACCTCTCTCTATTGGGCATGGAATGTGCCTATGGGTAATCACCCTTGAAGATTGTTTAGATGAAAATTAGATCCTTGAGGCTGAGAGATATTTGGTTACTAGAGTAGGTTTCTAGTTTGATCAAGCTGCTATTCTTGTGTTCAATATTGATTGGTTGGCTCTAATGCTGTTCTCTAGTAAAGATCTCGCTACTGGAGTTGTAACCACCTATGGCTCGACTCTTTAAAGGGCACTCTAGCCTTATGTGGAAATATGGCTAGTCCAAAATAACCCTAGTTGGATTAAGTTGTTAAGAAGCAAGATAGATCATAATCAGGGACAATGAAATTAATTGATAATCACTGCTTCCTGCTGTAAGAAGTTGAAAATATTGCTAAAAAATTGCCTCTCTTCATCGCATTGCATCTCTACCCTTCTTTTTGAATTCTTTTGGTGATGTGTATAAATCTCCAGTCAGTCAATGGTTTGTTGAGCAATGTATTATTATTGCTGCAGGTTGACACTTTCGGAAAAGGAACACTAGACTATGGAGAATTTCTTGCTGTTTCCCTTCATTTACAGAGAATGGGCAATGACGAGCACCTTAGAAAAGCATTCTCCTACTTTGACAAGGATGGCGATGGCTATATTGAACCTGAAGAGCTCCAGAATGCCTTGATGGAAGATGGAGTTGAGGATTGCATTAATGTTGCCAATGACATCTTCCAGGAGGTTGACACAGATAAGGTAATGACCTTTATGACTGATTAATCATTTCACAAATTTTGAAATACCTTTCTGACTGATTAATTATTTGCATGTCCAATAATATATCTGAAATACCTAATATGAAATTCATAATTGCAGGATGGAAAAATAAGCTTTGATGAGTTTGCTGCAATGATGAAAACTGGAACTGACTGGAGAAAGGCCTCTCGGCATTATTCGAGAGGAAGATTTAACAACCTAAGCATGAAGCTTTTGAAGGACGGTTCTTTGAAATTGGGAGCCGAGTGATAACAGGTTTAGGTTTGTGTTTGTCCCCTCCTACACGACCTAATACTTGGTCATTTTGCATATATTTGGACCTGTTTTCTTTAATCATGTCATTGATTTTTGGGGGGCTGCTGATTGGATTGAGTAGTGTTTTCTGGCTTGCAAGGTCAAATCGGAGTTATGTTTGTAAAATCTCTTGTCAAATATTAATGAAAAGACTGCCTTTTTGGCCTTAGGTACGGCGAATGTATCATGTTCCTCTTGCTGCTACAGCAATGTATTCGTTTTTGGTGAAGAAAATATCAGGGTTTTATCCTCTTACCTGTTCTTAATTTTTGTTTTTCTCCTCCTATAGCATAATCCTAATCAACTTGAACTGTTTTTGGGAAACCTTTAAGTATCTAAGGCCCTATTCTCTCCACTTTAAAAATCTACGTAGTATTATTCGGTAAAAATAATTTCAATTTAGTAAATATTAGTTCAATTCTGTAAAAATAATGGCAGTTTAGCAAATAACAGTAACTTTAAAAAAGGATTATAATAGAGAATTAATAAAAGTTATTTTCAATCAGTAAAATTAATTAATTTCAATAAATATTATAATGTAAGTTTAGCAAAAATTATTTCATTGTCTTAGAAATAAGGTGAAGAAAATAAGGCCTTACATTTATTTTTGGTTTGAAGATGGAGGAAATTTTATATTTGTTTGAGGGGGTAGTTTAAAAAAATACCGTATGTTGAAATATTCACTGGGGTAAATTTTTAAGTAAGTTTATTATGACAAAATCAATTAAATTTTTAAATATATAATATATATATATAAATATATATATATATATTATATATTTATTTGAATAGAAATTCTAAATATTTGAACAGGTTATAGATATATACTATATGAAACGCTATTATAGTAAGAAGATTGTGAAAAAAAATTCAAAAATACTCGCCAAGCATTGGTGTTATTTATATCAACCACCTATAAAGCAAAGCAAACAATTGAGGATTTTTATTGTAATAAAGATAGGCATAAAATCTACTAGTGTTTAAAAAATGATTTAAGCACAAAAACTAGAAAGACTAATTTATTACAAGGATTCTGATAATCTAATAGAACACAACTATGGAACTTGAAGCTTAAATTTGGCCTTAATTTGTAGTCAAATTGCTAATGAATGAACAAATTTTCATCCATAGAAATATATCCTTAAATACTACGTACTCGTACAAGTTATTGCAATGCAACAGCAAAGAGAAGAGTATTCCTGGACAGATTGATCCCAAAACGCTCACTCATGTCCAAAGTCCCACCATCTACACCACCCGGCAATGTCCAATCGAACTTAAGTAAAAGATTAGCTAATAAGAACTCGATGTTTGCCATGGCAAGGGATATTCCCGGGCACATCCTTCTTCCTGCTGGAAATGGAATCAACTGCAAGTCTTGTCCTCTGAAATCTGTTGAAGAAATCAAGAACCTTTCGGGTTTGAACTTCTCTGGTTCATCCCAAGAAATAGGATCTCTTTGGATTGCCCAACAGTTGATGGTAACGGCTCTCCCTGCAGGAACATCATATCCGAGTATTTCTGTATCTTGGGTTGGTTGTCGGAATATCAACAGTGGAATTGGAGGATGTAGGCGAAGGGTCTCCTTGATCACAGCTTTCAAATACTTCATTTGCTCCAAATCACTGTCATTTACATGTACATTTTCTCCCATAATTGTTCTAACTTCATTTAGCAGCTGTTGCATAACCTGAGGATGCCTCAGAAGTTCTGACATTGTCCATTCTAGTAGGATGGCACTTGTATCTGTCCCAGCTATGATCATGTTCTGCATTAGACGACACACGATTACTTCATAGAGTCAGTTGTCCAACAATTAAGGCTGGCCATAAGGATAACATGCTTAGCGAGTTCATTATATCTAGATAAATCAAAGCATATATGCACACTTAACACTTACCAATACGATGGCTTTTACAGTATCTCTGTCTATGGGAAAACGATTTGAATCCTCGTGAATGTTAAGTAAAACATCGACGAAGTCCTTCACTCTTTCACTGTTATCATCATCAACTAATTGATCTCGGTGTTCACTGATCATCTTTTCAAAAAATTGGTCTAACTCTTTGTATACCTTATCTGCCTTCAAGTCCCACCCATTAAGGCGACTAATCCAAGCGAGCCAAGGAAAAAAAATCACCTATGTTAAAATCACCTAGTAACCTTACACTTCATTAACAAGCTTATTGAAGACAGTACCATCATCCTTCCCTGTTCCACTAAGCTTCCTTTCTATGACCAGCCTACCGAGCACGTCCTTGGTGTAATCCATCAACATCTCACTCAAATTCACAGGTGAGGATCCTGCTAGCATTATCTTTTTAACCAGAAGAGCGGTTTCTTCTACTCTTGCAGTGCGCAGAGAACGAACCTTGTTGTTGTTCAAGAGGTGTAACGCGCATATACTCCTCGTCTGCCTCTAATGTTCCCCATAAGGTGCTGCAGCTACATCCTTGAAACTATATTGAAGCTTGTTGGCCCGCTTTGTTATAAGCCTACTAGCAAAAACTATGTCATGGGTTATCAGTACCTCTCGAGCTGCTCGAGCTGACGAGACAATGAGTGTTGGCTGACTGCCAATGTGAAGCATCATAAGCTCACCGTATTGCTCGGACAGCGATTGGAGAGAACGGTGAGGATGAGTGCCAAGCTGATGAATATTGCCCAAAATTGGAAGCTTTGGCAGAAAAGGAGGCAAGTTTTTTTTAGAAATAGATCTTTTTTTGAGTCATAATTTATAGAGGATGTATAATAATGAAATGAATGAAAGAATTTTGAAGGGCTCTAACAATAATATAAGTTTCATGATAATTCAGAAAATAATGAATGAAATGAATGTTTAATTTGCCGCTCGGAAGTTGGAGTCCTTGCATATGATGAAGCTTACATAATATTTAGTTATATGAAAAATGACTCAATTTTTATATCGTCAAATATTTATTTATTTATATTGATTTAAACTATTTATATTGATTCAAACTAATAAACTAATTTGGTGAGGGTGGACATAGTGAATAAGGGGTGGAGGGGATGCAAGTGGATGAGGGGGATTTTCAATATGACACAAGTAAATGCTGTGGCTTGTGGGGAAGGGAGGTAGCTGGAAGAGAGTGCTCAGAAATAGGCCTGCACAAAAATATCCAAGAATTCGAAAATCCGATAATCTGATTCGCAACCGATCCGAATTTTTGGATATCTGATTCGAGTTTTTATTTCGCATTGAATATCTGATCCGAAAAAGCGGATATCGGATGCGGATTTGGATATTGATTTTCAAAATTTCGGATATCCGATATCTGAAATATAAAGGTTGAAATAATGAAATATATATAAAAATTTTTAAATTGTTTTTATAAAATTGACCCTGTATTATTAACTTATTATAATATTCTTAATATAGTTGATGATAATTTTTATTGCAAAAAGACTACAATTTTGTTAAAATATGTTGTACAACTTAACGATAAAAAAGCGGTAAAATTAGTGAAATTTAGAAAGTAATTATAATTAATTTTACTTAATATTGGATAATGGATATCCGAAGCATCAGATCCGAAAATTTTGGATATTCGAATATCGGATATCCGAAATTTTCGGATCGGATTTGGATATCAGTTTATGATATCCGAGTATTCGGATATCCGATCCAAGATCACATTTCAGATCGGATATCCGATACGTGAACAGGCCTACTCAAAAAGAATGTGAAGGAAATGACACTGGTGCGTCGGCAGCTACTAATGTAATGAACAAATTTATGCGAAATAATAATGGAAAATCTTACCTCTCTTGGAACTTTCGATCTTTAGTAGTTTAATTGTTATTTTTAGATTTTGCTTAGAAGTTTTTACCTTTCACTTGAAAGAGTTTTTCTTGTTTTAAGCGGTTAGGATTTATTCCGTTATTTTAATCTTGTTATTTATTTTGATTAGTTTTTGAGTTTAGGGATTAAGTTTAGGAAATTTTATCTTTTTAATAATTCTATCTTTATTAGGAATGTGTTTAGGAATTTGGCTAGTTAATTTATCTAGGATTTCTAATGTAATTAGGAATCTTAGTACTTATTTGTAGCCTATGGCATTGATGCTCTTAATAAAATCAGTTTTGTTGCATTGAAATATATAAAGTTTTACGTAAGCTTGTGCTTGTGTACTCTTGGCCTAATTTAGGTTTTAAGCTCGTGTTGCTTAGCGTTTCTTGACCGAGGCTCAAGAATCCAAACCTTTCCACTGAGATTGAAAGTTATATCCATTAAAATCTATATCAAATTGGTGTGGCTGCTGTTTGACGAAGGGTGAGTTTGACAAATCGTGTCAAAAACCTCAGTTCCATAGGTCATATTGATTGACTTTGTTCCCCTTTGTTTCTAAAGCTTTTGAGATGATTCTTTTTTTTTTTTTTTTTTTTCAAATTAGGTAATTTTTTGTCTAGTTTTCACCTGCTAAATTTGAGAATTTTTAGAGGACCATAGCTATTAAATTGGGTTCATTTTTGACAACTGGTCACAAATCAAATCTGACAGTTGGGGAAAAAATAAACTGCGATCACTTGGCTAATTTTTTAGTCGAGTATTGTAGACATATAGGGCTATTATCATAAAAAAAAATTCAGACGTTTTCGAGGTGTTTTGTTTGGGTTTTGGTCCTCGTACTTTCGATCAATTTCTGGATGGGTTTTGTGTGTTTAATCATTCACTTAAACATGGTGAATCAAGCTGAATTTGCGGCTTTGATAGATGTGCTCAAGAATATTAATGCTCGGCTGGATAAGTTGGAAGAAGGTACTGCATTACTCCAGCAAGAACTACATAACCGTGAAACAACTCCGCACATACGCAATCACACACTTGAAGAGATAAAGCTTGCTGATTTCCCTAGTTTCGACGGTGATGGTGATCTGGACTTATACTTGGATCGGGAGAGGAGAATGGAACGTATCTTTGCACACAAAAAACTGGACGATCACAAACGTTTTAATCACGCTATCCTCAAGATCACAAGGTATGCTTCCCTTTGGTTTGATTCCATGCAAAATAAACGTGAAAAAGAGGGTAAGCCACAACTCTCTACTTGGACAGATTTAAAGGCTAAGATGAAAAAAACGATTTGTTTCACAATCTTATAAGCAAGACTTATTTCTGAAATTAAATTCTTTGACACAAGTATATATGTCGGTTGGTAATTATATCAAAGAATGCGAAAGACTTTATAATTCTTGTGATTGCAAGGATGAAGAGGAACAAAAGATTGCAAAATT